ACAAACCCATTCGCGACGGATAGATTCTAGCAGTTAAGTGGTGGCTCAAAGCCCAGTTCTTTTATTAGAACAGCCAACTTAATGAAAGGAGTCGTCCGAGGTTGTTTATATATATCTATTGTTTTCTTTTAAAATTTTTAAATATTAAAAAATTAAATTTAACAATTTTCTTGCATAATCAAAAAGTCAAATCTAAATAAATTGTAGAGTCCTTAGCCGCTTAAATAAATTTTTGTAAAAATGTCTTTATTTATTACGTATTTATATGTTATGTATTTATGTGCTTTTAATCATGTTTTTTAGATCAGGATTTTCAGCTTCTAATATACTAATCTCCCGTTTCTCTCTCTCATACTTTCTGCGTTATCATCTATGCGTGTGCCCAGGTGTTACACGTATGGGTGAGAAACAGTTAGTGTGGGTTTAGTTTTAAGTTTTCCCCTTTATTGGCGGCTGTCATTGTGCTAGTGATTGCACGGTGTACATTGCACCTGTGTGTGCGTATTAGGTGTGTGCATTGTACATCGTTTCGCGATTGTTTTTAATTAATCCATCATTATTCATTACTCGGAGAACTACTTGTAAAGTCATTTATGGTATGAAAAATATACCAATATATATATAAATTTGTATTTTTATATTTATAATTAATTTTTTTCTACTTTCTTTTTTGTAATAAAATCGTTTTTGCATAGTAGAGTTTACCGCATTTATTTGTGGAAACTTTGATATACTCGTATATAGCTAGTATGCATATATACTAGTTTATACTTGTATTTTTGCATTAGTCATTTATGCAATAATCACTAGCCTTGGCAGACGATTACAGCATTGGTACGTACTCCCATAAGTTTAGAAAACACACGTTTGAACTAGGGTGTCGGAGGTGCCCCGGGGCATGCTCTCTAGTTTAGGCTTTTGCACCCTGGTGGTATGTGAGCGAATCGTGAAGTGAGTGGGTATGTATGTATGTATGTTTGATCTTTTTGAATATGGGTAATAGACAAGCAGGTAGCATACTTAGGTGTGAATGTTTATTTAATTTGTAAGTAGGTAGAGACCGGAGAAGTCGCGCGATTGTAATTTCCACTCAGGAGTGGAAAATTTTTTCTTCGGATATTATACAAAGTTTCAGCAACCTTTAGATTCATTTATCATTTAAATATTTCTTGTATTTTTTCCATATATTGCTGATACTCTGTAACGCGAGATATAAATCAGTATCGAACAATTCAAAAGTCTTTGCGTTTTCTTAAAAATTAATTTTTTTTGAAAAAGTAAAGATAGATGAATACGTTGGAT